CGGATCGTGCCCTACTCCCGGGACCCCAGCAAGCCCTACAAGAAGGTGCTCCGGTAAGAGAGGGGAAAAAGAGAGAGAGAACCGCTCCCTCCCTCCCCTCCCCTGTGTGTGTGTGGGGGTCGTGTGTGCGGAAAGGGTGGGGGTGGAAAAGGGCCCTCCTTCGGCACGGGGGGGGTGCCCCTCGCCGGCGCGCAGGGGCCCAGGAAGTGCTTCCCCCGGGACCGGTGGGGGGCCAAAGGGTCAGGGTGGACGGCCCCCTCCCCCCTCCGTGTGTGTGTGTGTGTGTGTTTTGGGGGGCGGCGGCGGCGGCGGCATTTCGGGCCAAAGAAAGGCGTCCTACCCGGGACGCCTCTTCGGACGGGGCCGAATCTTCGGGGCGGCCTCCTCCTTCCTCTGCGCCTCCCGCCAGCCCTGCTGCCTCCGCCGCGGGGCAGAGAGCCTCTTCCCCCCCCACTCCCCCGCTTCCTGTCCCCCTGCTCGGTTTGCCACTCTGGAGGTGGGCCCAGGTCAGGATCCGGAGGTTCTGTCTGCTGCCTCTTGGGAAAGGCTTCAGCCTTTTGGGGGCGGGGGGTGACCCAGGGACCCCCAGCCGGAGAGGCTGCCGGGGAGGGAGCGCCGCAAGGCAGGCAGCCCCAGGAAAGGTGGCTTGAGTCTGCTCCAAATAGCCACCTGGCCTCAGGAAGGACACCCCAGCGAGGGCAGGCTCTTGTGGGTAGAGACCCTCCCCACGCTTCCAGTGGGCCAGCTGGCAGCCTCCCAGTGCCTGGCCACCGCCCCCCCCCATCCTGCTGCTGCACTTCCCATGGCCCTTGGCAGTTTTAGCAGCTGCTTCCTCCTCCCCCCCCCCCCCCCCCCGCCACCTGGGGCCAGGGGTCTGCTGGCCTTCCCTGAACTCTGACTGCTTGATATGGAGAGAGTGAGGGACTTTGTTTTTCCTTCCCTCTTCAAACTCTGCAGAGAACAAAGGCCTTCGTATTTGACATGGGGGGAGGTTGTTCACACCCACACACACACACACCCTTTCAGGAAAGAGAAAGGGAGCTCCCACTGCAAAGTGCTTTGAGAGCCCGGATAAAATGGGTAGACAGAAGAGGGGACAAGCCCTCCAGCCTCTCCAGGCTTCCTTCCAGTTGTGGGCTTGGTGCTTGACTTGGCTAAGAAAAAATCAGCCTTCCTGCATATATGCAGTATATGTTAAGGAAATTGGAGGCCAGCTGAAAAGCTTGTACTCATCACTGGCATTGGGAGAGTAAGGTTCTTTGCCAGAAGTCTTGCTTAAGGGGAGAAGGGGAGGCTCCTCTGACTCCCTGACACAACAAAGGAAAGGAAATGAGAATTCCTTCCTGCTACGTCAGGCACAACGGTGGCCAGGTTACTGCGGCATCCTTGTGCTGTGTCTCTCAGTGGCTCCCAGGATGGCTGGTCCACCTGCACTATGAACAGGTCCAGCTACAAAGGAAGTCAGACTCAGGTGGCTGCTTTCAAGCCATCTCGGAACTAGCCTGCGTGGCTAGTACTACGCGTGACTGACAAGGAAGGCCACCCCCGACTCACCGGGTTCTAAGTAGGCCTGATCGGTGCCTGGAGGCTCAGCTCGGTTTCCAAAACCAGACATCGGGCTGGGTGTCTTCAGGCCAGTACAAGATGGGTAGCTCTGCAGGTGGGGTTGCTGCCGTCTCTCGCTGCCATCCTGTGTCGTGATTCCTTTGGCTGTCGAGGGCTGCTGGAGGGGTTGGCCAGCAGCAGCTCAACACACACACACACACACACCCCTGCCCCTCCGTGCCGCCCCAACTAACCCTGCATGTGCTGCTTCACAGGGCGAATGGGGTTGGCGGGGTTCCTGTCCCGGGTCTTTCCTTGGGATGAACTGGATGGTGCATGGTGTCCCCTCCTGACCTCGCCTCTCTCTTCCTGATGCGCTGCAGGACTCGCTACATCCAGACGGAGCTGGGCTTCCGAGAGCGGCTCTTTGTGGCTGTGCTGACTTCCAAGGCCACCCTGAACACCTTGGCTGTGGCCGTCAACAAGACAGTAGCCCACCACTTCTCCCACTTGCTGTACTTCACGGGGCTGCGGGGTGCCAAGGTGCCCCACGGCATGGCGGTGGTCTCCCATGGGGACGAGCGGCCCGTCTGGCTGATGTACGAGACTGTGCGCTACATACAGCAGCACTTTGGGGGCGATTTTGACTGGTTCTTTGTCATGCAAGACGACACCTACGCCCAGGCGGAGCGGGTCCAGGCCTTGGCGGGCCACCTCAGCATCAACCAGGATGTCTACCTCGGCCGGGCGGAGCAGTTCATTGGGGGGGACGAGCAGGCCCCCTACTGCCACGGGGGCTTCGGCTACTTGCTCTCCCGCAGCCTCCTGCTCAAGCTGCGCCCCCACCTCGACAACTGCAGGAATGAGATCCTCAGCGTGCGCCCGGACGAGTGGCTGGGACGCTGCATTGTGGACTTCCTGGGCCTCAGCTGCCTCTCCCAGCTTCAGGTGCCAGAGCTAAAGGCTGAATCACACCCAGAGGGGTCGAGGGGGGGGAGAGGGCCGCCTGTCCGCCTGTCTGTGTGTTGCAGGCCAGGGTCCATTCATGCCAGCCTACAGTGGGCACTCAGAACCAACCAGGCATGGCTCCTGAGCCCATGAGGGGGACTCAGTGGGCATGGCTGATGCTGGTGCCCACCCTCTTGGGGGCTGTTGCTCTGGGTCGGTTGCTGAAGACAGAAGCGTCCTGCAAATGCCAGACCAAATTCAAGGGCTGGGATGGGGCTGCAGGTCTCCCCAGCCCACCCCAAACTTATTTCAGCTTGGAAGGGTTGTAGGAGGGAGGGAGAGGAGGGTGCCTAGCATCAACGTAGCTGACAAGAGGGAGCATGTGCCTTCCCCTCCGTGGGAAGGTTTTTGAGCTGCAGAGCCCACAACTCTGGTGCCTTTGAAGGGAAAAGGTCCGACTCTTCTGTTTTTTTTCCTTCTGCGTGCATGGTGCAGATCCCCAGACATGCCGGTTCCTCAAGTGACAGAGGCTGCCCCCCACCCCACCCCCAGTTAGGCTGGGGCCATTCTTGACTGTGCTGGCATCACCCCCATGGCTGATATGATTTGGCCTTCTATAGCCCAGTCACAGGGCACCTGCTGGGAAGTCTGGGGGACTGGTGGATTCGGGTGGCAGGAGGGGCAGCAATGGGGAGTCCCGGACACGAAAGAGAACATGTGCCAGCCCACTTCCAGCTGAGATTAGCTCCGGCAGTCCTGTCCCCTTGGCTCACAATGATCCCTTCAAGACCATGGACAGCATTGCTCTGTGGCCAGCCTTTCTTTTGCCAAACCTCCCTGGTCCCGGCCTAAAGTGGTCCTCCCTTGGTCTCCCTGCTTTGGGGTGGGGAGAGATGGGAGATGTGGGGCTTGTGCGGGCAGGGGCCGCCTGCCGCTCACCACCTTTCTTTCCGTGTTCCCTCTTAGGGTCAGCGTTTCCTCTCCTATGAACTGGCCAAGAATGTGGAGCCAGAGAAGGAAGAAGGGGAGGCCTTTAGGGGGGCGATCACTGTCCACCCTGTGGCTGAGCCAACCCTCATGTACCGCCTCCATAAGAGATACAGTAGGATCCAGCTGGAGCGGGCTTACGAAGAGATCGAGCGGCTGCAGGTGGGGGGGCAGGGACAATCCTGGTTACAGCCTGGTTCAGAATATTGGGGGCCAATGGAGAGGAGAGGGAGTGGGTCTCTCGTTTGCATAAGCAGGGGTGCATGCACACATAGATTGGGCAGGGAGTCAAGGGCTGCTGTCACAGAAGCAGATGGCACATGTGGGGAGGGCCAAGTCAATTGAACGAACAAGGCTGGCAGTTCATCCCAAGATTCTAGGGCGTACGTGCAAATGGAAAGGCTCACAAATTCAGGATTCACAGTTTGCAAGTAATGGGGGAATTAACCGGCCACCCTCTGGTCCCAGATATTTCATCCCAGGACGCTGCATGTGAGCCTGGATTCAGAAGGAGGAATTCAGCTCACACAGCGCAAGATCCGAGATCCTCCTTACCTGGCCTTGGCCTCATTTTATTCCTTTGCCTGATGCATCACGAAACAAGAAAACGGGTGTTTTAGTAGATTTAGCAATGGGAAGAGCTTCCACTTTCTTAAAAAAAGAGAAACTCACAGATTGCAATCCTCAGATCTCTTTAGTCCATTTTGAAAACAAGATGTCCCTTATTCTTTCTTCCTGGGAAACATGAGCACAAATGATTTGGCCCATGGATCCCTCTGGCAAGGCCCAGTTTCTATTGACTAATGACCAGAAGCCAACACAGATTTGCTGATGGCGAGACTGCTGTGGAGGTAATGTTTCTTGACTTCAGCAAAGCTTTTGACCAAGTGCTCATGATAATGTGAATACAGTAGCAAGATAACTAGGAGTGGGCAGAATAAAACAACTACCAGGCGGATACTCAGTTGGCTACAGAATTGCACTCGGGGAATGTTTAGCAAGGGCTCTGTCTCAACCTGGGCGGAGGTCACGAGTAGGGTACCCCAAAGCTCAGTCCTTGGCCCAGGGCTCTTCAACAGGTTTATTCATGGCTTGGATGAGGGAGTGCAGGGAATATCAGATGGGCAGGTGACAGAAGATTGGATGGAATAGCTAATAGCTTGGAAGACATGAACAACCTTCAAATAGATCTTGATAGGCTTGAGCATTGGGGCTGAAGACAAGAGAATGGAACTGGACATGGGCAAGTGCAAAGTTCTACACCTGTGGAAAAAGAATTCTTGGGAAGTCGTGAGTGCTCCAGTGCTGGAGGCATTTAAGAGAAAACAGGACCACCCTCTGTCCAATCTGCTCTGATTTGGACTCCTTCACCGGCCTGACTGGCCTCTTCCAGATCCATGATCCTAGAATTCAGTTCCTGCTGCCTGTGATGGGAGTTGACATCGAACAGCTTGGGAGTCCGGCTGGGTAGGACACCTGTGCAGGGGGGAGGGGGGTTTGGGCCTTGGCAGATTTCTTGAGTCCACCCTTGTGTTGGGGCAGGTGTGTGTGTGTGTTCGGGAGGCAATTGAGGCCACTGCTGTTTTCCAAGGTCCAGCTGCAGGTGCAAAGGTCAAAGGGAGGAGATTAACAGGCTGTGCTCTCTCTGCTACTAGGACCAGATCTGTAATCTGACCACGCGGATGCCTGTGGGAGAGGCCAAGCTGACATGGCCTGTGGGCATCGAAGCCCCCTTTGTGCCCAAGAGTCGCTTTGAGGTGATCACCTGGGACTACTTCACCGAGCAGCACCTCTTCTCCTGCCCCAGTGGGGCCCCAAAGTGTGAGCTCGCTGGGGCTAGCAAGGCTGACGTGGAGAACATCCTCCAGGCTGCCCTGGAGCAGCTGAACCGACGCTACCGGCCCCGGCTGCGTTTCCGCAAGCACCAACTCCTGAATGGCTACCGGCGGTTTGACCCCACGCGGGGCATGGAGTACACCCTGGATCTGCTTCTGGAGGCCGTCACCCAGAAGGGGCACAGCCACCTGCTGGCCAAGCGGGTGACCCTCCTGCGCCCACTCAGCAAGGTGGAAATCATTCCCATGCCCTACGTGATGGAGGCCACGCGAGTGCAGTTGGTGCTGCCCCTCACGGTGCAGGAGCTGGACTTTGTTGGCAGCTTCCTGGACGCCTTTGCAGTGAATGCCCTGGACACCCATGACAACGTCCTACTCACCCTGTTGCTTGTCTACGACCCCTACGATGCCCAGCGGGTGGCCCAGGTGGACGTCTTTGCAGGGGTCAAGGCTATGGTGGCGCAGCTGGAGAAGCGCTACGCAGACGTCAAAATCCCCTGGATCAGCGTCAAGACGGAAGTGCCCTCCCAGATCAAGCTCATGGATGTTGTCTCCAAGAAGCACCCGGTGGACACGCTCTTCTTCCTGGCCAGTGTCTGGACGGAGATCAGTGGGGAGGTTCTCAACCGCTGCCGCATGAATGCCATTGGCAGCTGGCAGGCCTTCTTCCCCATACACTTCCAGGAGTTCAACCCGGTGCTGACCTATCGTAGAGACCCAGCGGCTGCCGCTTCGACCAGTGGCACAGACTTTCTGCGGGACGGACACTTTGACCGCCATGCCTTTGCCGAGGCCTGCTTCTATAACTCGGACTACATGGCAGCCCGGAGCAGACTAGCGGCGGATGCTGCCCTGGACCGGGAGGAGGCCCTGGAGGACCTGGAGGTTTTTGACCTGTTCCTGCGCTATTCCCAGCTTCATCTCTTCCGGGCGGTGGAACCGGGGCTGGTGCAGAAGTATGTGCTTCAGAGCTGCAACCCCCGCCTGAGTGAGGAGCTCTACCGCCACTGTGTCCACAGCAATTTGCAGGGCCTGGCCTCGCGCTCCCACCTGGCCATGGCCTTCTTTGAGCAGGAGCAGGCCAATAGCACCTGAGCATTAGGTCTTGGGAAGAGGAGAAGGAAAAGCATAGGTTTGTTTGGGAAACCATTAAAGCCTCATTGCTGATGGATCGACTGGATCTTTTCCAGGACACTACGTGGTGTTGCTCCTGCCAAGGGCTGGGGTACAGTGGGTGCAGGCGGGGGGGGGGGTGATGGTCCTTGCTGGCAGCACTGCTCAGAGGATTTTCCCCTTCTTTCCTGCCGGGTTTGCACACAGTCCATGCACACTGCTTCCCTCCCTCTGGCAGGGCGGTGGGGTTTCTGCCACAAAGGGCGGCTGGGCGCCTGCTTGATCTCCCATAGAGGAGAGCTGCCTGATTACTTTCTGGTTGGGGGGAACACTGACAAGAAAGCCCATGCAAGGTAAGGGGGAAGGTCCGCAGCCTCAGACTTGAGCAGGGGTGGGGTGGGGAGTTAGGCCTGGGAGCCCAGCAGGGCAGTGGCAGCAGCTGCATGTTCTGTGGGTGCATCAGCCTCCCTCTTGCCTCTGGGCGCGCCTGTCACCACCAACAGGGATGCTCCCTAAGGGATGCAGGGGAAACGCATGCGCACCCCGATCCTAGTGCTGGAAGGTCTTTAATGGCCACAGACATCCAGGAGGCCAGTGCAGGGATTGTTGGGGTCCAACCGCAAGTCCCCTCTGACCTTACTGAAGGGGTGGCGTTCTTCTCCTCCCCCCCCCCCCTGTCAGAGGAGGGGCATTCTGGAGAGACAGCGCTGTCCTCGGGACAGAAGTGGGCGCCCGCGAGGGTCCAGGGCTTCTCTTCTCTGCAAGACATGGAAGGATCCAGCGGCTCAGCCTCCAAGGCGGGCTGCTCTCCTCGGTCTTAACGGTCCTTCACCCGGGGGGGGGGCGGTGGCCCTCCAGGCCATGCACGTCGGCCTGTAACGGGGGGGGGGGTGGGGGGGGTGGATGTGTCACAGGGCAGCATGCTGGAAATCAAACTTGACATGCCTTGGTAGTACAAGTGGCTGCCATAGCACTCTTGGGATTGGCATCTGCCCTGCCTGCCCCCTCCTTGTGTCATGAGGAGGCAGGAAGCCCAGGACATCTACTGGCGCCCGGGCATTTGGCATGGCAGAGCACAAGTATGCTTGGCAGTGTGGGAAAGGTGCTTGGTGACACTGCGGAGGGGAGGGGAAGGCAGGCCTTGGGCGAGTCTGTGTGTGCAGGGCGTCTACAGGAGGGCCTGTGGGCAAACACCCACATGGTGCTGGGCCTGGCGAAACTGGCAGGTGGTTTTCCTTCCAGGCTGCGCTGGCTCTGCTCTGGGAGTGGCACTGGGCATGTGGGAGGCTGAAGCTGCCAGAGGGACCACTCAACCTTTCCCTGCTGCCTTGGGAGGATTTGTCCTGCTCCTGCCCGTGGGGTTAGTTCTGTCTTTTTTAGATAGATACATATTATTTGACGTTAAAACTAAACTATAATTCTAGAATTACTACATACAATACACCTTAGACCTGTGCCACCTTCACCCTTGGGACTAGGTGAAATATCCATTTATATCCTTTTTCACCCCGGGCCTCTCAAAAAAGACATTGATTCTTTTGCTGACATTTGCCCTTTCCCCTTCAAAAGAACATGCTCCAAGTATGAATTCCATACATCTTTGAAATTGTTAGCCTTTGCTGTTCCTCTTTTTATTTTCACTTCACTGGGGCTGGGACTGGCAGCTCTGTGGGTCCAGTGGCCTCCTCCCTTTCCTCCTTGCCACGGCAGCCGCTTCCTGCGCTGCTGTGAGTCAGGCTCCTGCCTGTCTTTCCTTGGAACTGGGTCCTCCGAGGCTGAGGGAGGTGGGGCTGGCAGGCACGAGGGGCTGCTCCCTACTAAGCCTGGCCGGGATCTGAGGAGGCCGAGACAAATTGTTGCTGATGTCCGTAGCTCCGCTCCCAGGCTGGGCTGCCTCTTTGTTTCTACCTAATGTAAGTGTGGCTTTGATGGATGACCTTTGCCTTCCGCCAACAGGACAGGCTCTTCCCTCGCTTCAGGCGGGCGGCACTTCTGTGTTCTCACGGTACAGGTCTGGCCTCTGTCTTGGACAAGGCTTGCCTTCCACCAAGTTTCCCTCTCTGCCTGGCCTGACTGCCAGACGACTCCTGTCCCCTTTTGGCGCCCTTTGCATGGTCATCTCCCTTCTCCCCCACCGGCCCAGGTGTATAGACTGGACGTGGCCAGGCCTTCCTGCAGGGTGGGTGTCTGGAGGGGAGGCAGGGCAAGAGGCAGGGGCTGGAAAAGCTCGAGGGTCACGGGGGGGGGCTGTGATTCTGACTTCAGGGTCTGCAAGGGGCAGCTGAATCCTAGGGGTCAAGATTGATAACCTTCTTCCTCTACCCCACCCACACAAGAAAATAAGTACAGCCATCCTTTGGTTTGGGCTTGTGATGATGATATTGGCTCACAGGTATCCTTTAGGACCTCATTAGGGACCTTTTGGCAAGGGGTAGTATCTGTATCCTAATACGTAATAACTTCTGGAGTGGCAGGTACGTAGAGTGTCAGAATAGGACTCGGGAGAGCTTGGTTCACAGACCCACCTACCCGTGGGAATCCACTGCTGAGGCTCTTCTGTAAACACCTTGCATCCTTCGAACATCCTATTAGGGCTGCTGTAGATCAGAAGCTACTTGATAAGGAACACAAACATTTGCAGTAAGCATGCAAGAGATTATATACAAATCAGCAGTATGGGGGCCCCCGGCAAACGCTTTGGTGCTGCTGCTGCTGCTGCGGCTGCGCAGCTATAGTCGCCACACCTGAAGAAGAGTCCAGTGGAAGAAGGAGCCGTACCCAGTGCGGGGGAGTGGATCAAGTGACAAGGCGACTCAAGCAGCTTGGGTCCGAATCCCCCTGCTCAGGCAATGGAAACTTACTGGAGGGGTGGGGGTGGGGTAAAAACCATTCCTTAAAATGTTTCACTTGAAAGCTGCTGTAAGTAAGTCTTGACTTGACAACACATAACAAGAGAAGCAGGGAAGTGGCAAGCGCAACCATCAAGAGGCTGCAGCCTCTGAGGAAAGATGCTACCATTTGGGGCACCTTTGGGGATGTGGGACAGCACAATGCAGGTGAATTAAACTATGCATAAAACAGGATATGGAGCAAACAGGGACAGAACTAGAATGGGGTGCTGAGATGCAACGAAGGCTGGCTGGAGGAGGCAGAGCTGCTAGTCTGCTGTGCTTCTTTGTTCCACACCCACCTGGTGAGGCTTCTGTGCCACAACCCAGGCAGGCCTTCCTTGCTGGTGGTTCCTGCCCATTTTCAGGGTACGGCTTCCTTGCGTCACGTTGCAAAGTCATGCCACTGTAGCCTCCCCCCCCCCATGTTTCCCAGCAAAAGCTGGCTGCTGCTGCTGCTGCTATTGCTACCAAGCTCAGAAGATTCTCAGAGTAGTCCCATTGCCTGCTCAGGAGGCAGGCCACAATCCTGCAGGGCTGCTCAGCTGTTTCCTGAGGACTCTCCAGAAGCCCTTTCTTTCCTTCTGGGCAGGGGATGCAGAGGCAGGTGGGCCATCCGGACACCTTCTCCCAAACGTGAAGATCGCTTGGAAGCCCTTTCTGAGACTCCCCACCCTTTTTTTCCTTTTTCTTTTTTTTTACAATGCTGCTCTCATCACCAGAGGAGGAAGCAGCTGCTGGTGGCTCAGTCTGTCTCAGCAAGCTGGCAAAAGAAAAAAAAATGGGGTGGGAAGCCAAAAGATGCATCCCTTTAAAGAAGAAGTGTTTTATTTCAGGGTAAGCTGTTGTGGGTCAAAATCCACTTCCTCATGTTGTAATGTTTGATTCAAATCATTAAATTTATTCGGGAGAGCTCTGTTAGGAGGTCACTTTCTTATAAGACTAAACAGCCATGGTGTTTCCTGTGAGCCTTTTAACCCTATCTTTTTGTTCTAGTTTCTAGAGCAATAAAACAAGTCATATGTTAACCTTTAAAATAAAAGATTACTAATTTTATTTAAAATATATATTTGAAAGAAAAGTCTATCCTAAACTACATGCACAACCTTGTTTCAATGTCAAGCACATAGCTGGGGGTGAGCAGAAGAGAGTTAGCCCACCTTCAAGAAAGACATTTTAACACCTGGAATGTTAAAAAGGATTGGAAGCATAATTACAAGCAAATTAGCAAGATTAATATTTGCAAAGAACTGGAAAAGTAACAAATTAATATGGAAGACTGGTATAAAGAAATGTGGAGTTTAGGAATCAATGATAAATTAATATATGAAATGAAAATAAGAAGAGGAATAATAAAGTCTAAGGATTTCAAAGATGTATGGAACTTGTATTTGGAATATGTATTTTTGAAATGAAAAGGCTATAGGCCAAGAAAATAGATATATACTGAGCCCACTTACTTTCCCATTATAACACGAGACTGAGAACTTTTCCAGAATTCTTAAAATTAAAGAAATATTAGTAGAGAAAGGGTTAAATACAATAAGAAGTTGGATGAAAAAGAAGAAAGATAAACATACTACAGTATTAAAGGAAATTTGGGGTCAGGAAGAGGGAATATCTTGGTTAAATATACTCCAAATGGAAAGCTGGATAAAGAAGTTGACCAGAAAAGTAGGAGAAATAAGAAAATTGTCAAAATTTTAGATTATTGAGCAAAGACAGATTTAAGAGGAAGGAAATAAAAGAAAGGATACAGAGTGTAATTTATAAGATTATAACACAAGTGGGATCTGAAAAAGCTATGATGAAAAACCAGTGGCAAGAGGATTTAGAAGAAGAGGTCAAAAGTGAGAATTGGAATAAAATATGGTCACAAAGAATAATGAAGAGTACGTTTATAAGGGTAAAAGAAAATTGTTATAAGGTTGCATGGAGATGGTACTTTACCTCAGCAAGACTGAATATAATAAATAAAAATGTACCATCTCAATGCTGGAGATGTAAAAATGAAAAAGGGACTTATAGGCATATGTGGTGGATGTGTAAAATAAGAAAGTATGGGCACTGGGTTTTAGAGAAATTATAGGATATACGTAGTATTCAAATATCACCAATTATTGCCCTATTAAATATAATTAAGAATGACCAAATTAAAAAAGAACGG